AAGTCAAAGATGGAAAAGAAGACATTACAACTGATACCGCTCTTTCTTAGTCCTTTAATCCAGTGCTTCTCTCATAGGTTAAAAATTTTACATATTTTCACTAGAGTTCCTGGGGGAACTCAGTTGAATAATGACTGCCTTTATCCTGTTTGCAGAGGGAATAAAATCTAATGAATATAATTTCTCAATTCAAATTGTTCTCCAATAATGTTTTACAAGGCTTTGGCTCCAGACCACTTTTCCGCTAGAGATTGCACATATATGACAGAAGAAAATAAAATTGCAAATTTGTGTCAATAGGAAACCTCAAAATTAACCATTTGCTCTTGGTTCAACTATTTGTTAGGTGTTATTTTAAGACATGTGGGCTGGTGGTTGTGATTTCATATGTTATACAAATAATATAAGGTAGATTAAAGTGTATAGGTGAAATAAAAAATGTATTGATTTATATTTTTAAATTACTACAGGGAATATAGTGTTCTGCAAATAAGAGCAAATGTTATGAATCTCTGTCCCCTGAACAAGTCTGAGGTGTCCTGACTTTACTTGGAAAAATAAGTGTTATATTCCTCTAAAGAGTGAATAGAAAAAATTTGTGGACAAAGGCTACACCTAAAACACATGTAATGTGTCAAATAATTAGACAGTTATTTTGAACTACTGCTAAAATTGGTATGAGGATTTAAACCAGTGTTTGCATTTCATTTCTCAGCCTCAGAATTGCAGAGCTAAGACCTTAGTGTTGTTTTTCAACAGTATTTCGTGATTGGGAAGGCCCATGAAAATTACTTTGGACAAACTGTCTGAAACTTGAAACTCCCAATACATGTCCATTAGCCTCTCTTTGAATACGCCAAGTAGGACTTAAATGTGACCCTAACTTTGAGGTAAAATAATAGCACCTGTATCTGAGGCTATCATTTACATGTGGATCTATGTGAAAGAAATGAATTGACTGAGTACATTTTTAGACTTGAAAACGCTTTATAATAAGAATTTATACTGTTTTTACATGGGTGTAAATATGAAATTGAATTTCTACAATTGTATTCCAAACTCTTTGACTCTTAGACAATGGAACATGACATAGTGTTTAAAATTGTAATCCCAAACTGAATATTACTCAACTGCTTATTACCCATGGCTTGAGAGGGGAAGAAAATTCTCTTCATATATGTTGTCTTCATTCACGCAAGACATTTTATTTGTCTTACCAATTTAATAAACCCTCGCTGTGCAAATCTTCTCCACATGTGGAGGCAGAGAACTAAAATATATACAGCCAGTTCTTTGTGTTCTTCAACTTCCAAATTTGCGTATATGTAATTTTTTGTCTTTTCATTTTTTTCTTAAAGTAGAAATCTCACAACCTGAAACTCAGTTTTCATTACCTTATTTTGACCCATGTCTACTCTTAGGGGGCTTCAATTCCCCAACAAAATTCTGGTATTTCCCAATGTGAGGTAAAGCCAAAGAGAATTGACAGAGAGCCAAAAAGACAAGGAAGAGGGTGATTTGAGACCAGAGCAGAAAGAGCAGGATAAAGCTCTTTCAGGAATGGACAAGCGTTCAGGCAAATACCACAGAGAAAGGAAGATAAACAGCGAGTATAGTGAGGAGCTCTCTCTAACAGATGGACGAGACTAAATCCTGGCTCTGCCATTTACTGGCTATATAACCCTGAAAGAACAATTTCATCTCTCGGAACTTCCACTTCTTCATGTGAAAAATGAGGAAATTCCCATCTTCTAGAGCTGTGGTGAAAGATCTGGGTAAAGATTATTGCACTGGCTGGGCACAGTGGCTCACACCTGAATCCCAACACTTTAGGAAGCCGAGGCAGGCCAGGAGGCTTGGGAGGCTGAGGCAGTAGAATCACTTGAACCTCGGAGGCAGAGGTTGCAGTGAGCCAAGATTGTGCCATTGCACTCCAGCCTGGATGACAGAGGGACATTCCATCTCAAAAAAATAAAGAATATTGCCCTTCATGCAGTGTTTCTGCTTCTCCATTTCAGCTCTTGCCAACCCTTTCCTTCCTGAGCAGAAAGAGTCATGTTGATGACACCATTAACATCTGAGTCTGTGCATCCCAAACTGAGCCTTCTATTTTAATCTTTTTGCTGTGGCGAAATTCAGATATTTACAGCAAAAAATAATCATATAACTATGAATCTCCCTATAGCTATTTTTCAGCTTCAATAATTACAGGTCATGGCTCAACTTTTTCATCTACATTCTCGCCTGCTTCCTACCCTCTGTGTTAATTAGAAACAGAGGACAACATATCATTTTATCTATAAATGTTTTAGTACGTAGTATCACTAAAAGATAAGAACCCTTTTCAAAAAACATAATCATGATACCACATCACACCTAAAATATTTACCAGTTATTTCTTAAAATCATTAAATACCGTGTGCTTAAGTTTCTAATGTCATAAATTTTATAGTTTGCTTGAATTAGGATATGTTATATCCACAAATTACAAAAAGTGTCTTTTAAATCTCTTAATTGATTAGCTAACATGCTCTTCTGTTCTCTGTATTACATGTAGAGGATTCATCAGATTCAGGTTGATTTTGTTGCTGTTAATGGTATTATTGCTACTCTCACTCTCTGTCCAATAAGTTATGTCAACCACATGAGTACTACCAAGTGGTTAAGTTATTGATGATGTAATTTTTTTCCAAACTGATAAACAATTCTTGGAAATGTCTGAAAAAATCAATATATAATCTTACCTCAATTTAAACAATAAATAGTTATATCCTAAAGACTCTGGTATATATTAAAGCTGCAAAAATATTTTTATTTATATGAACTATAGAGCTATGCTTTAAGCTCAGATAATTTCAATCTTTTTTTTTTTTTTTTTTTTTTTTTTTTTTTTTTTTTTTTTTTTTTTTTTTTTTTTTTTTTTTTTGGTGATAGAGTCTGACTCTGTCACCACCCAGGCTGGAGTGCAGTGGTATGATCTCAACTTACTGCAATTCTGCCTCCCTGGAGGTGATTCTCCTGCTCGGTCTCCAGAGTAGCTGGAATTACAGGCACCTGCCACCATACCCAGCTAATTTTTGTATTTTTTTAGTAGAAATGGGGTTTCACTGTGTTGGCCAGGCCAGTCTTGAGCTCCTGACCTCAAGTGATTCACTTCCTTTGGCCCACCAAAGTGCTGGGATCACAGGCAGGAGCTACTGTACCCAGCCAGATAATTGTAATCTATTTTTCACCTGCACGAATGTATAGAAAGGCATATGTTACATGGGAACATTATTTACTAAGTAGGATTATCTGTCACATCATGGAAAGTCTAGCATCTCTGGGTCCTGTCTACCAATGCCACTAATACCCGACCCAAATCTTTATGACTACTATCAACATCCTCTTATGTTTACAAAATGTTCTCTATGGTTCACTTTGTCCCCTGTTGAAAACCACTAAATTAGTTTAAGCAAAAATAAAACACGAAATTGGTTTTCATTGCATGTATGCAGTAATTTTAGAAAAGGAAATAAGAAAAATATCTTCCATGGGGAATGAATATTGAAACACTTACAAATTTAAAGCCTTCACGTTTTTCTCAGCTGACAGAATTTTATTTCTCCAAAATATGTTGGAAAATATGAGCAGTATCTCTGATAAAACCAATGAGGTCATAATGACTTCATGCTAATATATGCAGTTCAAGTAGAGAAATTTTTAACAGCTAGGAAACCATCCACACTGGTACAAGTAGGGAGACTGGGAGAGTGACAGGAAATGACAAGCCCATTTTTAATTCTTTGCTAAGCATAGGTAAAAATTTATAAACCTTCTCATGCTATATTTAAATAATTGGCCCATAATGTTCATAAAGAATTGTGCTACATCTCTGAGATGAAGAAAATACAGTCAACTGATTACTTTCCATTAACTTACCTTATTATATGATATACATCTTGCCTTTTTCTTTTGGCTTTTTAAAACAGTTCCTTTATTGTCTCTAAAAATTATTTTCAAATCTGTATTTGAAGATATTTTAGTGTTATTTTTGAAAGTAGATAATATTTATTTATGGTACCTAGGCAGTTTTTAATAAATAGTAGAATCTTATCAAATATTTTTAATAAACTCACTCATCTAGTAATCACCATTTATATATCTTGCTGTTCTGGATCACGGACTTTCATATTTGCTAATTTTATTGTCATAGTATCATTATCATGAAATATTAAGTGCGGGTGTTTTACACAGAGCAGAAACTGAATTAAGTGGTTTCTTCTAAATCACACTGCTGGCATAACTAGGAGAAGAATTTAGGTGTTCTGGCTTTGATTTTACTATTTCTACCAACAGACTTTTTGCATTGAAGTTTTATGGTTTCTATTCTTGATGCCTAGCTGTTTCCATGTGTTCAAACTATTTGTCGAGAGAGAGAAAGACAAAAAAAAAAAAAAAAAAAAAAAAAAAGAGTTGTGATTAATTTCTCCAGTATTTACATCCTGGCCTGACTCTTACATAAAACAAGATATCAAAAATTTTGGTGGCAAAGTCTGGTGGAAGATAGGGCTCTCCTAAGAGCAAGTTACATTGTTTAATGTCTGCAAACTGCAAAAAAGGTGCAGCATCAACATAGTAATTGTTCAGAAACTGGAACTTGGTTACCATGGAGACATTACCTCATAGTTCTAAGAGGCAGTGTTGGCCAGATACAAAAATTGTAGTCATAAAGTTCTCTTTGCCAAGTCACTGCCCTGTCTCTCAAACTGCTTCCAGTGAATGCTAACCACCTTCACCATAGTTTGTCTGATACCCTTAGTCAAGATCAGGATTGGCTATGTTGATACTTACACATTCACATGAGAATTCTGGTTCTGGTACCAGTTTGGTAAAGAAATTATTAAACCTGGCTGATGCTTGAAGGTAGTTGGATTAACAGGTGAGGTCACTTTCAAAAGAAAAATCTGCCTTGAACCTTAGTGATATTCACTGTCTGATGTCATGATCTGCTTTCCTAGGAAAGAAAAGAGACTTCTCTTCTAGCCAAGATGAAAGATACACAAGACATTCAGGAAGCTCCAGAGGCAATGCAGAATAAAGTCGACAAGCAGGAAGATAAGATGGAGAAACAAGAGCAGTGAGTATGCATAGATGAGACGAAAGCAGAGCTGAGTTATAGAGAAGGAATGATGGTATGCTTGACCTCTTTTGTTTTAATACTCTTATGAAGCAGAACTAGAATAGATCCCACAAATTTTCTAGAAATAATGAACTGTAGCATACAACGACTTCCACAACTACTGTTTTATAAGGTTCTAGTCCTTGAGAAGTATAAAAATCCACCTGGACAGATCTCTATCATGTAAGACCTAGCTGAGATTCCAAAGTTCCCGTTTAATAAGTTAAGGCAATTTACAGAAATAGTTCCTTTCTAGAACTATTTTACAGACCAGAGGACAAAAAGAAATTACCAGAACGTTGGTTTTGTAAATGTCTGTGAGAATGTTATATAAAATTATAATCCCTATTTTTACATTTAATATAAATCTTTCATCAACTAAAGCATTACCATTGGTTTTCCAATGTTTTCTTTAAAATTGACTTATTATTGAGTATACAGAATTTAAAGCTATTGTTACTTTGGACCTAGAAGTCCTATGTTTATTGCTCAATCCAAGTCCATTTTTAAATATTTGTTCTTAGGGGTCCTCTGAGAAATGATCATTGTCAATATTATCAACGCAGCATCTCCTGAAGTAACATTGAAATGCTAAAACTGAGCCTTTGTAACTGCCCCTAGTTTAATGTTAACCAATTACAGAGAAACTGAAATACCAAAAAGGGCTTCGAAAATTACTTTTGCTTAAGGGAAAATTAACTAAGCACTGAGAAAAATCACTCATCTTCCAAAAGGAGTCTAATAGGTTGGCAAGTGGAAGGTTCAGATGATGGGCTGTATCACATGAGTTCATTCCTGAAATGTCTCAGCTCTTCCAGGGACATGTGCAGCCATTAGAAATTTCTTATTCAACCAGGCACAGTGGCTTATGCCTGTAATTCTAGCAGTTTGGGAGGCCAAGGCAAAAGAATCACTTGGTGCCAGGACTTAGAGACCAGCCTGGGCAACATAGCAACACCACATGTCTACAAAATTTTTTTCAAAATTAGCAGGCATGGCGTCATGTGCCTGTAGTCTCAGCTACTTGGGAGGCTGAGGCAAGAGGATCACTTGAACCCAGGAGTTGGTGGTTGCAGTCAGCCTGGATGACAAAGCAAGACCATCTCACGAAAAAAATAAAAGAAAAGAAACTTCTTATTCACCTACCAAAATAAGAACACCCTATATCTCCAGGACAGGTTTCTCTGATTGCAAAGATTTTATTAAGGCTTATTGGGAACCTTTTGTGGAATTAAATTTATTTTAAAATGCTATTGTTTACTAGAGGAAAAAATTGAGAGCTTATAAGATGAACATGCCAAAAAGAATAGCCAGTGAGTTATGAAACCCAGATGTAAGGAATGTTGAAAGAGAAAAGTGCTTCTCTGCTGTTATAGTCAATGTCAGGGAGAAGTCCTGTCATACAATCCTGCCTCATGTTGAACAAAGATGAAATATCTGTAATCTGACAATTTACCTCTAAAGTCTCCTTCCCACTACCTCTACGGTCATACTCAATAGCGTATCTTTATGGGTAAGAGCTTTTCTGGAAAACAGGAATGCTTGGAGTGTCAGCAGGATGTTAAGTGTACATGCTTATTAAGCACTGGGCCAGTAGTCATGACATTTTTAAAGCCAATGCCATTTAATTATTTTAAAAATTTGCCTGAGACATCTGTGTCTTCTGAGAGGCACATATAGAGCAGTCTAGTTTTGAATACAAAACTCCAGGTATAAGATTTCTTATAAAGGAAATATCAAATTGTAGAACAAAATGATTGTGAATACCTCTTGGTAAACAAAGAGATATTGAGGGTGACAGCAGCAAGTAGGAAACTCCAGGCCCTCATTCTCCTATAAGAACCTAAAAGAAACTAGCTAAAATAACTTTATAAAAGCTCTGAGAAATAGATCAAAACAGAGATCATTCATGGAGGTAAAATAATTAGTTCCTGACTTATAGTGGATAGATATGTGGACCCCATAAAGGAGATGGTTGAACTGGCCATTTGTCCCGTTTTTCAAAGAAATAAAGGGTTTGGACTCGAGGACTTTGTTCACAATTTAATTTAAGCACTGAACACACGTGCACACATGCACCCACCAAAATTACTTTGAGATCACCGGGAAGAGCCTCAATGTGACTCATAAAATGAAAAGTCCTAAGTCTTTTCATGATTCATGTTATGAAAGTGTTGTTTAACTTGTAAAATAATACTACTGTAGCTTATGGACCTTGTTCAAATGATTGTGCACTAGTTAACAAATGCTTTCATAGTTATAAAAAAGAAAGGAAAATCTTTGTTCATAGTAAGAGTCACTTATAAAAGTAGTATATGAAAATGATTTTCTCCCTCTTTTCTGTCATTCTCACCAATACACATACATACACAAACATGCAGAGTTTATTTGAAGGCAGACATTAACTAAACAATCTTAATTAAATAGAAAAGTTGGTTAAGCAGCAACAGGAATTAAAGGAAAAGGGTATATAGGAAACAAGAATATATTAAACCAGAATTATAATCATGATCTTATGACAATAGAAAGGGGAAATATGATAAGTGATCAAAGTGGAGGTATAAATGGCTTATAAAGTCCCAACTTAGAGTAAAACATACATTTAAAAGCCCGGAAGGAGATAGTAAAATGTCTTGGTGGTGGCATTGTAGTGATTATTATTATCTTTTTTCTAGTTACACGTTTTCAGAGCCTTCTATAATAGGAATTTATTAATTTTCAAATATTTTAAAAGCATATAAAAAATTGATAATAAAGTGTTTTATTTCAGTTGTTAACACTAGAAATACAAGATGTTATTGTGCTTGTGTTGGATGCATACTACCTTAGAAAAGCAGAATTCTGGGTAATAATGATAGCCCATGCTTCTTTTATTCACAGCCACTTTGACTTTCCAATTTATTTATTTTATTTATTATAATTTTTATACACAGAAGAGAAGACAAACTTGGAGATCCCCCAGTACATTCTTCAGTACATTTTCAAAAACGAAAGATAACGGGTTCAGTTGCCACAACACTGTCATTGTCATCTTTATTATCCAGTGGAATAACTCTTGGCTACAATCTGTCTAGTCCTCGGATTAGTGGAATAACTATATCAACAACTGGACAATTGGCTTCTAAAGCTACTGGAGGTAATGGTTCCCAAGAGGAAGACAGCTTGGGTAAGCAAAATATGGACCTCATATTTTTAGAGTACTTTTAAAGCATATATTTCAATAGATTGTTTATGTGACTCTTAGCCAGAATGATGTTTTATTATTAGCACCCCAAAATGCTAACTTCTTAACATCCTATGAAAAGTAACTTAACTATGGTCATCACTGATCCTAGAACTGGGGTCTTAAATTCAGGCCACATACATGTACTGTATGTGCCAAATATATCATTCTTATAATTAAGATATCTTGAGTTATCATGATGGTTCATGAGTTGACTAACATACATCAGAATTGCTAGAGAATTAAAAATTCCAATTTATAGCGTTAACTGTCCTTCCTCTGAACACTGCCAGAAGGATTAAACCACATCTTGTGTATTTTGTGTCTTTAGTTGATATATGGCTTAAGTAAGGGACGGAAAGACAGATGAGAGAAAGAAAAAATATAAAGTAGCTATAAAATAATGTAGATAAAATGGGAAAACAGTAAAGAGAATTTGAAAAAAAGGAAAATGAAAACAGCACTAAAATAATAAAAAGTAAAGTTTTGACTGTTGTCAACAATGTACTCAGCAATACCCCCACTCCAGGGTGTTTGTTTCTCCCCATGTTTAGGGAATTTTGAGGGTATGTTTTCATGGTTTACTGAAAACACTCTCATCCTTTGAAACACAGGACCTACTGTTTTTCTACAGTGTTAGGCTTTAGATAGAGTACTTAACATTTCTGCATCTCATTTCCCCCACAACTGCAAAATAGGGATTAAAATAGAAATGTCACAGAGCTATCCTAGGGATTAAATATTTATGAAAAGTACCTAGCACATAATCGGTACTCAATAAACATTAGTTGTGCATCTGAATGTACCTGTAATCACCTTCTTTTAAAATAGACTAGATTTGGGGTCTGTGTTTCAATTGCCAATCCACTAAGTTTCAAAACTAATAGCGCAAATAGTCTGGTGACTATCTGATACCTCCATTATCCTCTACAATTATGTGCCCATTTATAGCCTGGCTGCCCTTCGTCTATAATTCATTTTGTTTTTAATATATTTCATTTTGTTTCTGATATTTAAAAAATTTTTTGACATGGGTTAGTGTTTTGTTCTCCTGCCATTATGGTCATATTCCCTATGTTTCATTTTTTGTATGAAGAGTATAAAATTTCCCAAGAAGAACTCCTAAGTTTACACTGACCTTTAAGATGACCAAAACCCATATGCTGAAAACACGAATACAAATTTTAGACCTGGGAAGAAAAGATTTTCTATCATTTGTCATTATATCATCATGGCATATGTTCTATATTTGGGTTAAACTTTTGCTTCTTGTAATGGGGCAAAAAAAATGAAATATAGTGGCTTCCCCTTACAAGATGGGAGCTGAATTGGGATGTAGTCTTTTCCTACTGTCTTCCATTACTGTAGATTCTGCTTCTGTAGATAGATGCCTAGTTTCACTGAGATTTGTTGCACTTGGTTCATTGCCATCTTTTGTTCTAGACAAAATAACAACAGGGACCGAAATTAATGTGTCTTCTTTTCTTTTGGAATACCAAGAGTTTTATCTCTCAAGAGGAGCTGTTAGGAAATATGCCATGTATTATCCTTCCCCAAAGGAATTTAAGGATTAAGGAAGTACTTGACTGAGAATGAACTGATTTAATTCCAACAAAATATTTAGAAGAATTTTCTTTAAATATGATTATTTTATTCCTTTGTATCTTTCACCTTGTTTTGGTTTTGCTAAAGATATAAGATTCAAACTCTAGATTGTCTTAATCCTTTGAGGATCTTGGACAAAGAGTCACATTAACCAGAACTCTTGTACTGTTATAATAGCTTTCATTTATTATCAGATAAATGTTAAACATTATCTAGACACTTATCTGCATGATCTCCAACTCTCTTATCTTTTTACATGAGGTAGTGGTATCTTCATTTTATGTTCAGGAAAGTGGAAACTTGGAAAATTTATATCACTTGGCTTAGTAAATGGCAGTACTGAAATAAAATTGCAAGTCTGTCTAAATGCAAGACACGTTGTTCTTTCCACTTCATCATGATGCATCTTTGCAGTGTAACTCTTTCTTTGCAAATATATTGTTAGATTTGTCCAGAATGGCTCTTTCTGTTCAAAATTATGAAACCTATTTTGTATTTGAATCAAAGTAGTGAGGATTTAAAAGAGCAAACTTCTAATAAGATACTACAATCTGATTCCACATCACTTTATCTTTCTAATAAAGTATCTTAATTAAATAGTAGTTTAAGTATTTACCTGGCAAAAGTACTAACCATTGTAGGAAAGGATTCATATGAGGCTTTAATTTATGGGTAGCCATTTGGGAAGTTAGCAAACATAAAGTAGAATAAGGCTATATTTATACGTAACATATCCAAGTCTGAAAAACTCAAATGTTTTCCCTATTCCCAAATTGATGATGCTTCTAGCACAACTAAATAATCAGTTAAATAGTCATTAAGCTAATGATAGAATTTATTATTTAAGATAACTGAAATAATCTCTAGGAATTGAAGATGCCACTGTAACTATTCACTTACTGATTATTTTAAAGACTTTTGTTTAAAGCTTCTAACTATTCTCATTAAGTTTGATACTGATATTAAAATGTAAACATATAATTTTGTAGAATCAGAGAATAAGGATAATGGCTTTGGATCCTTTTAATGTCATTTTATTTACTTCTCTCCTGGTTGCTTCCTTCTTTGGTTTGCTTGAAAGATGCCTTCATTGTTCCAAAGAAACATGATGAATCATCCATAATTGGGGATGGAGAAGATTATTTTCTTTCTTTGTTTGGTGATTCAAAAAAACGTATAGCACACTCAAGCTACACTGAGAAAACTTTCAAATACTTTTCTATGATTCTTGAAGAAGTTGGCCAATTTACCTCCAGGTACATATTTTATAATTTGAACTACTTAATATCTTCTGTTGGGGTAGGACCAATAAATCAGTAGGAAATAAAGTTATAATCTTTGTTATAAGCATTATCTTATCTAAAACACTAATCAGTTCATTGAAATATAACTGTTTCATCTTCTGATCAATTAAAATGAATTGATATAATGGTCTAAAGAACCAAACAAGAAATGTGAATTATTCAAAGATGCCAGAATAAACAGTGCCACATAATCTTTACTAATTGGGTCAACTCAGTTGTTCAAGATACTTTTTTATTGTTGGTGAATTATTTACATGGATCTAATATACATATATTTTATTCTAGTAGCTCTTGAGTTCAAGACAGAAGGAGAAAGATAAATGTTTACCTCATTGATCCATTTTTATGACCATTAGTTTCTACCAAAAAAAAAATTGATCAGGAAGAAAGTTAATATTAGGACTAAAATAAAAGAGTTAAGATCTATTCATTTATGTTAATATAACCCTGCTTTACTTATTACATGAACAACATATTGAATTTGAAATGTTAGTAATAAGTCCATGTTAATAAAAGTCATTAGAAGGCTAAAAGAAAACAGAGTTGAGGGTCAGATATGAAGGAAATTTTCTCTCCCTTTATGCCATGTTTCCTAAAATCAATCGCTTATGCCCTATTACAATTTAACAGTAGAGAATGCCTAAACATTTGCTCAACTGTCTAAAAACACCTCATCAGATCCTTCATTCAGTATCTACTATGTTAAAATGATGAGCAATTTGGAACAGCATACAATGTTTAAAGATTCTGTTAAAATTCAATGATATTAAAAATGGTAGTGTAGAAGAAAGCTGTCTTCAATCCCTATCTAGCCACCCCAGAAAACAAAAACAAATATACAGTGCCAAGATTATCATTATCATCAGCAGTATCTCAGAACCCAAATATGAGGATGAGACAATTCCTGAGGCCACAGAAAAGTGAAAAATATTCATATAATCATTAAGCTCTCCAGAGGTCAAGGACAAAGAGAAGAGCCTAAAGGCTGCAGGAAAAAAGAATTTGTCTAACAACAGACTTCTCAGTGGAAACCATGTAGGTCAGGAGGGAATGAGAAAATGTTTTCAATGTGTTAAAACCCTGCTATCCAAGAATAGTGTAACCAGCCAAGCTATTTTCCAAATATGAAGAGATAAAATCCTTCCCAAAGAAAAGCTAAGAGAATCCACCACCACCGGACCTATCTTATAAGAAATGCTAAAGGGAGTTATTCAATCTGAAAGAAAAAAACACTAATGTACAAAAAGAAAACATTTGAAGGTACAAAACTTCTGGTAAAATTAAGTACATGGAAAACTCCATGATCTTAATGGTGGTGTGCAATCCACTTATTAGCATGAATCCCAAAAGACAATTCTATCAAAAACAGTAATAGCTATAGTAATCTGCTAAGAGATAGGCAGTATAAAAATATGTAAATTGAGAAAACCAACAGTCAAAATGTGGAAGAATGAAGTTCAAGTCTAGAGGTGTTTTTCTGTTTCGGTTTTTTCCTTTGTTTCTATTTTTTCTATTCTTTCCGTTGTGATTTAAGTATTCATCTCTTTAAAATAACTTGTTATAGCTGTAAGATGTTTTTCATAAGCCTCATGTATCCACAATACAAAACCTATAATAGATTCACAAAAAGTAAAAAGCAATGAATTAAAACACTACCAAAGAAAGTTACTTAACCACAAAAGAATATAGTAACAAAGGACAAAAGGAAGAGACGAGTTATAAAACAACCAAAAAAAAAAAAAGAATAAGTTCTTAATACTGAATGTAAAATGGACTCAATTTTCAAATTAAAAGGCATAGAGTGGCTTAAGGAATAAAGAAACAAAATCCAGCTATGTGCTGCCTACAAGAAACACACTTCATCTACAAAGACACATATAGACTGCAAGTGAAGGGATGGAAAAGCATAGTCCATTCAACTGAAAACCAAAAAGGAGTAGGAATAGCTGTGCTTATATTAGATAAAATAGACTACAAATCAATGACTATAAAAAGAGACAAAGAAGGTCACTGTATAATGATAAAGGGGTCAATTCAGCAAGAAGATATAATAATTGTAATTATCCGTGCACCCAACATCAAAGCTCACAAGTATATAAAGCAAGCATGGATAGATTTATAGCAGAGATATAGACTGCAATAAGTAGTAGGGCACGTTAACATCCTATTCTCAGAAATGGACAGATGAACCAGACAAAAACAATCACAAAGAAACAGCAGAGTTAAATTGCACACTAGACCAACTAGGCCTGACATTTGCAGAACATTTCACCCAATTGCTGCAGAATACACATTCTTTTCATCAGCACATAGAGGATTCTCCTGAATAGGCTCTCTTAAGCCACAGAACAAATATCAAAAAAGTAAAAATTCTATCAAGTATTTTTGTGATCACAATGGAATAAAACCAGAAATCAATAACAAGAGGAACCTGGGAAAATACACAAACACATGGAAATTAAGTAACACACTTCTGAGCAACCAATGGATCAGTGAGAAAATTGAGAAGAAAACTTAAAAATGTCTTGAAACAAATGGAAATGGAAACACAACATACCACAATCTATGGGGTACAATAAAAGCAGTACTAAAAGGGAAGTTTATAGCAATAAACACCTATATCAAAAGAGTAAAAAAGCTTCAAAAAGCTTCAAGTAAACAACCTAACAAGGCATCTCAAGGAACTAGGAAAGCAAGAAAAAATCAAACTGAAAATTAGAAGAAAATAAATAATAAAGATCAGAGAAGAAAGCAAGAAAAAAACAAACTGCAAATTAGTAGAAGAAAAGAAATAATAAAGATCAGAGAAAAATAAGTGAAATTGAGACTAATAAAGGTCAACAAATAAAAAGCTGGTGTTTATCTATGGTGTTGGATTATATCAGATACTTTTTATGCATCTATTGAGATGATCATATCGTTTTTCATTTTTAATGTTAAATCATCCCTGTACTATTAAAATAAACACTTGGACATAATGTTTATTTTTTAATATACTGTTGAATTCTATTTGTTAAAATATTGTTTCAAATTTTTGCATCAATGTTTTTAAAGGTTATTGGTCTGTAGTTTTCTTTTCCTATCATGTCCTTGTCTGTTTTGGTGTCAGGATAATTCTGCTCTTCATGGAATGAGATGGGATATAGTCTCTCCTTTATCCTTTTCTATAAGAGATTGTGTAGAAGTAATTTTTTTTCTTTTTCGTAAAGGTCTTATAGAACTTAATAGTGAAGCCATCTGGGCCTGGAATTTCTTTGTGGTAAAGTTTTAAAACTGTAAATTATTTTTAAATCGATATTAGGCTATCCTAATTATTTCCTCTTGAATAAGCTTGGGTAGTTTGTGTCTTTCAAGAAATTTGTCCATTTTATCTAAGTTGTCAAATTTTTTGGCATAATGTCATTTATAATATTCCCTTATTAACCTTTTAATAACCGTAGAATCTTTATTGGTATCACGTTTCTCATTTCTCATATGGTCATCTATATCTTCTCTTTTTTCTGATCAGTATCACTAGAGATTTAGTTTTATTGAGCTCCTCAAAGAACATATGTTTGATTATATTGGTTTCCCCTATTTTTTGTTTTTTATCTGATTTATTTTCATTTTGGTCTATGTTCCCTCTCTTCTGTATACTTTTGACTTTATTTGCTTTTTTTCCCCTCCCCTAATTTCTTAAGGTGAAATTTGAGGTCATTGATTTGATACCTTCTTCTTTTCTGCTACTACAGGTATTTAGTGTTATAAATTTTCCTCTAAGTACAGCTTAGTGGCATCCCACAAAATGTTAATATATAGTATTTTTATTTTTATTCAGTTCAAAATACTTTCTAATTTTTATTTTCTTATTGATCCTTGGATAATTGAAAAGTGTTATTCATTTTCAAAGTGTTTTACATATTTTTCAGTTCCAGTGATTTTCCAGATATCTTCTTGCTATTGATTTCTAATTAAATTCCATTGTGGTCAAATAACGTATTTTGTAAGACATGAATCCTTTTATATTTACTGAGACTTGTTTTATAGCCAGCACATTAATCATTCTGATAAATGGTCTAGGTACACTTGAAAAGAATACATATTCTGCTGCTGTTTAGTAGAGCATTTCATGTAAACCATGTCATGTTGGTTGTCTACTGTCTTTTTGCTGATTTTTTTGTCTACTTGTATCAATTATTGAAAGAGGGGTATTTATATCTACTAAAGTTGTAGATTTGTTAATTTCTCCCTTGCAATTCAATCATTTTTGTTTTATGTATTCTAAAGCTTTGCTATGAGATGTTATCACTATAAAATCACTCTTTATTCTGGCAATATTCTTTGTTCTGAAATCTATTTTGTCTGAAATTAATATAGCCACAGCAGCTTTCTTTTTACTGGTGTTAGCATGGTATATCTTTTTCCATACTTTAACTTTTGAACTATTTGTGTCTTTATCTTTTGAATGCATATTTTGTAGGTAGCACTTATAGTTGAGACTTGCTGTTTTAGACAATCTGAAAATTTCTGTCTTTTCATTGGGGCATTTAAACTCTTTACATTTAAGGTTATCATTTATATGATTAGGTTAAGTCTACCATCTTGTTATTTGTTTTCTCTTTGTCCCAGTTTTTCTCATTTCTCCAATATTTTCAAGATCTTGCTCTACTACCATTTGCCTACATTGTTTCTAATACATTTTCTGTCATTCTTATATTTGTTCCTCTGCACAAATATGTCTCATTTTTCCCCCTCATTCTGCTTCTAAGATGTTTCTCATTATCATCGTTTTTGGGAGATTTGATTATGATGTACCTGGTATAACTTTCTTCAAATTTATTGTGCTTGGGGTTGTTATACTTTTTTCATTTGCATATTTAAAGATTTTAAATCTTAAAAATTTGGAAAATTTTTGACCATTATTTCTTCAAATGTTTTTTGTCCCTGCTTCCTCTCTCCTTTTAAAGGGCTCC